TATGTATGTATGTATTTAATTATATATATATATATATGTACACTGTCTAAAGTATTCAGTATGTATACTGTAAATGTAGCCTACATACATTACATAAGAACATATTACACTATACTGTATATGCTTACAATATTCAGATCAACTGTTCCAATCATGATTATTACAGTTTACATCTAAATATGCCCTTTATCATCAACCCTTAGGATTTGGCGTCACTACCTGCTCTGACACGCGCCTGTATGAGTTCCACTATGTCAACCTGTCAATGAACTGGAACGAAGCTCAGCGTTACTGTAGAGAGAATTACACTGATCTGGTGACCATTGAGAGTGCTGATGACTTAACCAGGTTAAACAGACCGGGTTTGGGCACCTTGTGGTCGTGGATTGGACTGACTGATGACCCGAAATCCTGGAAGGGAGTTATGGGCAACGATTCAAACTCCTGGAGATGGTCAGCAACTGGTACAACGTCAGAAACTGATTACCAAAACTGGGCCTACAATGAGCCAACTTTTACTTACGCACGGGAGAAATGTGTTTATATTTTTAATGGAAAATGGTTAGACGATCGCTGTTGGATTAAAAAACAGTTTGTTTGCTTCAACGGTAAGAAAATTACTATTATGTTATTGGTTATTTCTGCAGTTTAATACTGTGACAACAGTGGACTTAGTGTTACAAATTCTTTCTAAAAGTAAGTTATTTTCCTCTATTGTAGATACAAATCCTCCAGGCCACAGAACGTATACTTTTATTACCAATAAAGTGACTTGGATGGATGCCCAGATTTATTGCAGAACACACTATACAGGCCTGGCTACGATTGAGAATGCTCGGGAAAACGAAGAAGTGAGGTCAAAGATATCAGGACAGGCTTGGATTGGCTTGTACCGAGAACCATGGAGGTGGTCCGACAAGAGAAGCAGCTACTTCAGAAACTGGAAACATGGACATCCAAATAACAATGGTGGTGGCAAGCACTGTGCTGCTGAAAGTCCAGGCCACGGTTGGGTTGATCGCGACTGTAACTCTAAATTTTCCTTCTGGTGCCGTAAAGGTGAAAAAAAAACATGAATCTCAATCTTCCTTTGATTTTTCACAACACAATAATATTTCCGTCCTTGATTTGTGGATATATGTTTGTTGGACTGTACAGACCTGAGGGTGAAGATGACCATGGTGAAGATGAAGATTCAGACTGTTGCTGCCCTTTCAGATCCTGCTGTTAATGACCAGATTCTCCAGCAGGTAAAACTCCCTCCTCCCTCTACACAACTAAATCTCAGGTATCAGAACTTCTGTCTGTTCATCTGATCAGTTCACAGTATCAGACCGTAGGCTTCGGGGCTCAGGCTACGTCCACACAACTACATTTCCATTTTAAAATGGCGATCTCCAGACTATCACACCTAAAAACACACATACATGAGCGATCACGGTGAGCATGTGCGAGCCGGTGTAAACAGGAAGCAGACTGTCGACTCTGCAGTTGATTAGTTGTAAGCTTTTATGAAGCTTCTAATGTTTCCTCTATTCCCTCTCAGATGTGTGACAAGTTCAAGGCTTCAGGGATTGACGTCAAACTTAGGTGGGTGACTCGACCCAGGAAAGAAGAGGAAGAGTCCGACAAGTCAGTGTGAAATATCATTGATTATGTTTTTGTACAAGCTACAAAGACACAATGCAGGAAACCGAAATAATGTAGTCAGATGACTTTGTTAGATCAGATACTGTATTGTTAGTCCCACTGTAAAACAGAACATGTTATAATCTTCACTAATCTTCTTGTATAGAATAACATGCACCAGCACGTTTTTAAAAGTAACTAAACAGCAGGCTGGAAACCAATGATGTCAAAGGGTCAGGTGGATTCAACTAAAATTGGCCACTCTTTGGTCAATTATTTAAAAGTTCCGTCAAGGTGTTACTGAGTTATCGTGTCCATGAAAATGTGATGTGATGTCATTGACAAAAAAAACCCCAAAACACCAAGAATCGTGAACATTTCTGTAGCTCGGTCTTAACATCTCATCTAGTCGGTCTTGTCTTGCGTTCCTGTCTAAAAAAAACAGATGATGCATTTTCAAAATGATTTTGCATGGATGCATATCTAGACAGATGAATCTGTTTTACAACCCCAATTTCTGTGTAACTGCTGTATAAGAGAGTGTGTGTGTGTGTGTGTGTGTGTGTGCCCGCCCCATTTTAGCTGGATGGTTATGGTAAAATGAGCCAGCACCTAAATTGACTTTTCTCACAAAAAAAAAAAAAATCAAAGTTTCTTTTTAAATTTCAACCTTTCTATATGAAATAAACTTAAAATATTGCTCATTAACATTTTGCTTTGTTGGTAAGTTTACTTATAGATTTTTATGGGGTGTTTTTTAAAAGAAATCAATTTTCTGTGTTTTATTTCTAAGCGCTCTGCTGGAAATTGTTTCGGAGGTAACGACAGAATGAGTGAGTAAATAAATAGTTCTGACAGAGATAATGGATTATGATTTAATCACAGATTCTCTTTGAGTGATCATAGAATAGCCTCAATAAAACACTGAAAGATGGAGGGTAATTTTTTTTGTTGTTGCATAAATTTAGGACACCCTTCTGTTGTGTATTATTGTTTATTTTTTGGTGTTATATTTTTATTTTTGCTTGCTTTTTATTATACTATTATCGATATAGTTTTTTGTCTATAACAGGTAATGTGTAGTGTAACAAAATATCATGCTTTTGCTGTAATTCATGGTTTCCTGTCATTGTCTACTTAATAAAGTCAGTGCGCATAATATAATTTGCTAATGATCTCTTCAGTTGCCTAACTAACTAGTAGAGACCAAGCTTCTACAATAAACAATCAAAAAACCATGAGACAATTAAATGAAATAGTATTCCTACACATCTGAAGTTCATTCTGCGTCTGAACGTTACATCAAACTCTTATAGAATGGCCTCCGCATCAACTCCAACACATAGACTGTAAATAAAGATGGATGTAGCCTCTGTGACGTCAGCCACAGGTTTCTGAAGAGCAGTTTTGAAGTGAGCTGCTCCACCGTCGCCATCTTGGCAGTGCCTGATTCCGCCCCTAACTCCCAGCTAATCCAAAAATGGTCAAAGAGGAGGAGCCTGTGTGGACTGAAACTTTGGTGAATGCTGGTTTGTAGCAAGCATACGCTCACCCACCTGTCACTCAAAGAGGCCACGCCCTCAATCCTCCATAACTGTAGTCCTTAATAAAATGCAAACAGGTGAGTTATATAAACAGGTGTCATGAAGGAGGAAATTAGCTCTACAGACCAAAACAGTTTTTGTACCAGGCTGTAAACATGTTTATTTCTGCTGTAAAGTTGGACATTTTAACATGGGAGTCTATGGGGACTGACTCACTGTTGGAGCCAGACTCTAGTGGTCGTTAGAGGAACTGCAGCTTCTGGTTCTTCAGTGTTGATGTTTCAGCCTCAGAGGTTGATGGATCTTCATCAGTTCTCCTCATCTGCAGTGTCAACATTGTCCTCTTTTATCTCCTGCCCTCCTTTTGAATCTAGACTCATAACGTTGGTGAGTGGATGCAGCCAAAAAATTGGACAGGATCTCATTTTGTCACAATTTTATTTTCAAGATAAGATAGAAGAAGAAGAAGAAGAAAACAAACAAAATCATTTAAAAACATGTATGCACAGAGCGTACAGGATGACAGCTGCCGGCGCCACTGCACTGGATGAGACGGGACAGGGAGAGTTCTTGATTTCTTTGTAGAACATTTGTTTTGTTATTCAACTTAAATATACAGTCAGTTTCTAGTATCATTGATGTGGATTCAACTGTGTGATCATTGTGGTGGATGTAGTTTGTGATGCTGTTCGACAGGTGTTTCTATTTTTACATTTAAACCAATGAGGAAATTTATGTTTATTTATCCATCCAGCACATCTTAATTTAGTCTGTTTATTTGATCTCATTAATTGATTTATTTTTTCAAAAAAGTGTTTAATTTCACCTTTTTTTTTTCATAATGTTCAATTTCGTCTCTCTGGGTCCATCAGTTACCAGAAAGTGAAAATGCTGAGGTTGTTTACCTGCAGCAGCAGAACAGAGAAACTCAGACTCAGGAGCAGATGATGCCTCTGTGTGTGTGTGTGTGTGTGCGTGCGTGTGCGTGTGCGTGTGCGTGTCTGTGTGCGTGTGTGTGGTTTGTGTTTGCATGTGATACTCTGCAGCCATGTGGGACGGGAGGCCAATGAGTTCACGAGCTACACACACCACACACACACAAAGATGCAGAAATGAGTTCACATTGTACTTTATGATGGAGGTCGCTGCGACTCCGATACCAGAGAAGATGGAAATTACAAAATGGAAATCAACATTTTACATCTGGGTAACAAAAACTGGGGAGACGCAAGATCTGAGCTTTTTTTTTTTTTTTCTTTTAGGGAGCGGGAGACTGAAAAAAAAAAAAATCTGTTCCTCCTTGCAGCTCTCTCCGGGCTCGGGGCCAAGCGAGGGGAGGAAGGAAGGGGGGAGGAGAGGGAGGAAAAGCGGGAGGAGAAGGCAGGCAGGATCTGTGGGGATTGCAGGGGTGCATGGAACAGATGCAGAATAATTTAACTCTTCCTCAGCCAAACTGCGTGGCGCTCGCTGATGGGCTTTGTGTTCAGAAACACAGCTCACAGCTTCATTTCCAACACACAGACGCGACCAGACGAACTCTCCACAAACAGCTGCTCTTACCTCGTTCATTTGTCCTTTCATTTTAAATAAGAGTTAATAGTTTGGGTCTTTGATTCACAAAATGGGAGAAATTAAACAATAATATCAAGTAATATCAAGTATTTTAGAATAAGTGATGTATGAAAGTATGAAAAGGATAAACATAAGAAATAAAAAATGGCTGAATTTCTTGTTTTATATGTGAATATCCAAATGAAAGAGACAGATACAGATATGGAGGCTCTGCTCGGTCAAATGTATGTTTCTTATCCTCTGTGATAATTTGTTCCAGTAAAGTCGAACGCTCACTTCAGGTTTTTCTGATTGACACTTCTGTAATTATGTTGTCAGATGAAAACAAGACAAAAACATAATGGTTTTTATGACAGGAAACACAGTTTATAACAGAAAGAATCACTGATAACGGAGAAAATCATCATATTCACGTTCTCAAAAACTTTTATGTAATGTCCGTTCAAAACTGTGAAACCACTGTTTTCACTCCCACTTCCTGTATTTATTAATTATTAGCAGGATAGAGTTATTGAACACATTATACAACAACTCAAACATCTTTAATTGTTAATGTTCTGCTTGTTAGTGCTAAAATAAATGGGATTAAAATACAGTGGGGCAAACGCGCTGCCACGGCCCCAAAACACTTTCATCAGGAGTAACAAGCTGCAAATTGAGAAACAATGCAGATTCAAAAACACAAAATACAAAAACAAACAAAAGAATGTAAACAAAACAAAAACATGAAAAAGCAAACACGCTGCAAATACAGAAGCGATGCAACAACAAAAAACAAACGCAACAGAAAAAAATGCTGCATTTTCAGACATCACAACGGAAGAGCTCCAGGCCTCTAGGGGGGGCGGAATACCCATAGACTGTATATGAGCTAATGCTAACGTTTGCTACATTATCTGTTGCTCTTTCATAATATTGCTCTTTTATAAATGTAAAAAAAGAACACAAACCTTCTCATGTCGCCTCTTCTTTCCTACCTTTTACTCTCTCGTTTGGTCCAAGGTCAAAGGTCAAAGGTCCGGCTGTAGGTCTGGCCTCTTGGGTCAAAGCTCAAGCTAATGCTCAAGGTGTTCCACTTAGAGCTCCCCCTAGAGGCCTGGAGCTCTTCCGTTGTGATGTCTGAAAATGCAGTTTGTAATTTTTTTCTGTTGCGTTTGTTGTTGCGTCGTGTCTGTATTTGCAGCGTGTTTGTTGTTCATGTTTCTGTTTTGTCTTCCTGCAGCACGTTTCTGTTGTTGGATTTGTTTTGGAATTTTCATATGTGTTTTTAAATTTGCATCGTTTCTCAATTTGCAGCTTGTTTCTCTTGATGGAAGTTTTGTTGCAGCACGTTAAAGTAAAGTTTTACCAGCAGGTGTTTTCTAAAAGCATGTTTGTTTGTGATAGGAAAAACAAATGAAACCAAAACAAAACTGAAAAGATGTATTACCAGATGGATCTATATTAATGTGGTTCTTTGCTTAGACTGTAGTTTTCTTAGTGGTAGTTCTTTACTGCCTGAACGCCTGCTGCACACTAATCAGACTGATTTGGGGCCTGATCGTTTCTGGGAAGATCATCTTCCCAAATAATTTAGTGCTGATGAGTCTGTAGAAATTCAGTCATGGTTTCTTTGAGTCCAGGAAAAACCCTCAGTCTCTCAGAAGTTTGCAACACGACTTTGATGCCTTGTATGAAAAAGCAGAAGCTGATGACGGTCCAGGTTCTGATGATTATAAGCTTCATTTGCGTTTGACTAGAAGGGTTAATCAGATTGAGGGTAGATTAATAACTAAAGGGCAACAACTAATATCAATGTACTTTCATGTTTTCTCTCTTGCAGTATATGGATAGTTCAGTCCATGTCTGGGATTTAACTCCAAACTACATCTGTAAAATTCAGATTTTGTGCTTCCTC